TTTCTATTCAAAGGGTTTGAGTGGGCTCAGAATTGCTCGGTCCCAGTTAAATAAATAAAAGGACATTCCCAAAGATTGCCTAAAGTTGGGGGTGGAGGTGCACGGGGCTGACAAGGGCAATGCAAGCAGCCAGCCAGAGAGACACGTTCACTCTGGTCCTGGAACTCTTTTTGACTGTGCTTGCACACAGGGATCCGGCACCGGTCTCCTCTGGGACAGAGTGAGGTGTGCTTGCTTGCGATGAGTCACCAGGACAGTGAACTCATGGAATTATTTTATGCATCTGAATTTAGCAATTTTTACTGCTTTGAGACTTTTAGTTATAATCAGAAAAGTCTTTCACTCACCAAATTTACGAAGAGATTATCCCATGTTTTCTTCTAGTGCATCTACATCTTTTTGTTGTTATTTTAATCAACCCAAGTCCACAGTTTGCACTCTTGGTGTCGAACATTCTCTGGGTTTGGACAGATGTATAAGGACACGGACCCAGATTCCAGTGTCACACAGAGCAGCTTCACGGCCCCGAGAACCTCTGTGCTTTGTCTCTCCACTGCTGCCCCCACCCCCGGAAAACGCTCCTCTTTTCTTATCTCTGCAGTTCCACCTTTCCCAGAATGCCATCCAGCTATGTGGGCCTTGCCTTATTGGCGTCCTTCACTGAGTGATCTGCATCCAAGCTTCCTCCATGTCTCTTCATTGTTTGATGGCTCCGTTCTTTTTATCACTGAATAATATTCCATTGTCTGGATGGACCACATTTCATTTATCCACCACCTGCTGGAGGACATGCTTCTGAGTTTGGGTGATTATGAATAAAGATGCAGCTCTTCATGCGTTTGCATCAACACCTTTGATCCACCTGTTACCTATGCTGGTGCACAGTAAAGATGCAGTTTTGTTTTTCAGAGGGCTCTTCAGTTACTGGATAGCTCTAATGGGACAGTGTCTCCAGTGTCTCCAACCCACAGGTTTGAGATGTCAGCACCTCTATCCTGCAGTAAATTCCTTTCTGACTTTGGGTCAGTTCCTGGACTCTCTGCTTTGTTCCCCTGTTAGGACTTCCTGCATCAGAACCATGGCAATTTGCTATTGAGCCCTTGTAACCTGCTTGATGTCTACTGGGCTTCGTGCCCTGCTGTTGGTCTTCTCTCCCAGAACTTCCTGGGTTACCCACAAAAATCAGCTTGTGTGGTTCAAAAATAAAGCAAAACTAAACTTTTCAACCAGGTTTTCTTGGTCAAAAACAAAGCCCCCGTGCTGTTCCTACTAGAATCATGTGAACCTTATCAATCACTGTAGAGAAGGTTCCAGACATCAAATCTTTCCGTCCAAGAAGGTGCAACATCCATGTGTTCGAGTTTTGTTGGTGTCTTTCGGGGGGAGTAAATGTTTTATTCATTTCTCGTCTTGATCGTTTCTTGTTAACCTCATTCCTGTTGTCTTGTTTGCTTCAGTAAATGGAGCTGTTTGTCCTTTACAGTTTCTCACGAGCTGTTGTGGGTACACACGGAAGCTACTGATTTCTGTATATTAACTTGTACCCCATCACCTTACTGACCGTCCTATTATTTCTAGCAGTATTCCGATTGGATCCTCCAGAGGTTTCCACATCCACAGTCACAGTGCCTTCTGCAGCAACACTGTTCCTTCTCCGTGTTCCAATTGCTCTGTCTCCATTTTCCTTCTCTTGTTGTGTTGGCTAATAGCTTCGGTGAATATTAAGTAATGGAGTCACCGTGGGCATTCCTGCCGTGTTTCTGAGCACCGCAGACGTCCCTCTAGTGTTCAAGCCACTGAGGGGTTGTGTGTATACACCTGTCATGTGTGTGTGTACCTCTCCGTACATATGCGTGTGTCCCTGTGTGTATACCCCTCTCTATGTGTGTGTGCAACATCACATTGGAAAAATACAACTATTTCATTTATTGAGTTTTTATCAAAACAGTTGTTGGACTTTGTCAGATGTCTTCTAAGTGTCTGTAATTATAATCATATTTTTGTACTGCACTTTAATTGAATCGAATCCACTTTTGCATTTCCATAATAAACCCCCCCTTGTAGTGATTACTGTATTGGTCCTTTCCTCCAGTGCTCGGTGGTTAGTATTCGATTTAGAATCTTTGGTATCTATAACTGAGGCTACCTGTTTTCCTTCCGTGCATTCTCAGTCAGGCGGATAGGTCAGTAACAGGCATTTCGTGATAAAAACAATTTGAGGCTTTCCTTGTCTTCGTGTGCTCCGGGACACTTTATAAATAGCCTTGAAATCAGCTGCTGCTTCAAGGTTGGTAGAATTCTCCCACAAAACTGACTGGGCCTGGGGCTTTGCAGGAGGGGGTCTCTGATCACGTTTTCTATTCGTTCTACAGAAGTCAGTAGGGCCGTGTTTCCTGGGACTGTTGCTCATGTTGTCCTTCAGCCACATCCCCGGACCCCATAACCAGAGTCCCGTGCTGGGTCGCACTTCATGGGGGCTGGTGCGGCCGGGGCCACAGCGCCGCTGGGGGAGCAGCTCCACACCTGCCCCCAAGCACATGGCGTCTGTGGCCTCCGCATCCTCCAGACTGTTCTCCCAGATCAGCCTGAGGCTAGACTCACGACACCTCCTCTTTGGTTGGCTTCTTCCCTGATCCTCCCCGCCATCCGGGGGCCCCGGCTCTGGCCAGCTTGTCCAGAGCCCGTGCTCGCAGTCCCCCCCCACCCCTTCGTCCCAGCGACAGTCTGTGCACAGACTTACGTGGTAGTCATCACGCAATACCTTATTTTGTGGACGTTTCTGTCTCTGAGCCATCTCCCCAAATTCATGATAAATTCTTTGAAGGATAGGCTGCGTCACATGGCACGATGCTGACGATAGGTGAGACTAACAGAAAGCAAATAAGCAAATAATGCATCTCTTGGGCCTCATAACTGTGCTGAATACGGCAGAGCCCAGAGTCCAAAGGAGCTGAGGATTAATGAAGGGTGAAGGGACAGCAGTTTCCGTTTCTACAGCTCCAATTTCCACAGAATTAAGAGAGGAGCATCAGACCAGCCCTTGGGAGAAATAGTTCTCTGCTGCTAAGTTATCCTGCACATGCACCAGACATCTGAATATTGAAAAACTGCAAGGAAACAATTATAAATGTTACTTCCCATTACTCTAAATACCCGCTTTAATTAAGCTGGAATCCACAAAGCACAGAGCAGGGTATAAGCACCTCTTACTCGTACGGTGTTTGGGCCAGAGGTCACTGAGGTCCCTTGGGCTGGACTCTGAGTGTTTATAGGGGCCCCGGAACAGTGGAGGGTGAGCTTGGGGCAGGAATGCCAAGCTCCAGGCCTTGCCTCCACGCCCAGACTCCAGGTATGAGCCGGCTGCAGTCATCTCCCCCCTCACAGGACAAAGAATAACCTGAGATCGTGGTCTCCTGGGGTATCCCTAAACACCACATTTTAGAGTCATGCGTCTGGGGTTCGTTCTGAAGGTTTCTTTGGTTTCGTTTGTCTTCCCTTCTTGCAGAGAATGTTGTTTTTGTTGACGAGATTCCTTGGATCATGGTCAGAATGAGCACCATCTGGTGATACGTAAATCATGGGGTCTCCACTGTGTGAAGGACCCATCAGCTCCTGGCCTCAGCACGGATCCGCGGTGGGAAAGGGGAACTCGGGGGCCACGGTGGGGAGGCATGCCCAGGCAGCAGTGAACACCGCCCCATTCGATGGCTAGGAACCCGGGCACAGAGAAAGGGTCAGAAAACCACCCCATTAGTTTGACCTCAAAACCCTCTGCTCTTACATATAAAAAGAGCATTCAAAATCACAACAGCTCGGCGCGCCCAGTGAGTTTATCTCTTCCGTGGGTCACATGGGACAGCCACAAGCTAACACAAGCCTGGCTTCCTAGTTCTCCCCTCAGCCCCGGGAAGACAGCTGTCTGGGGCTCGCAGGGCCTGGGAAAGAGCTGTGCGGACCCTGACAGGAGAGGAGGAAGGAGCTATGCGGGCTGTGACGGAGCCCCTGCTTCTTGGCTCCCACCTGTGCTGCCGCTCTTTAGGGAAAACAGAAAGCCTCGTGGCACTGAATCAGAACAGCACACATTTTCACTGCAGTCTGTGACGGGCACTGTCATGCACGGGCCTTCAGTTTTGGGAAGCAGAATCTGCAGCAGAGGCCAGGACCAGGGGGGCTCCCACTTCTGTGCTGGGTCTGGGGAGAGGGCAGCCCGAGCAGACACCCCCGGCCCCCATCCATGAGATGCACCTCTGCCAAGGGACGCACCAGGGCCGGGCACTGTGCCGCACGCGAGTGCCGGTGGTCCTGCTGTCCGGCCAGCTCGCCTTCAGGGCCCTCCGGCCTCGGGGCCCAGACTGCTGAGCCTGTGACACAGGCACCTACACGTCCTGCAGGCCCTGAGCTGGGGACGTGCTCCAGCTTCAGGGCAAAGGGGTAGAGGGCCCAGTGCTGGGGGGCATAGAGACGGGCCTCCTCAAAGGACCCAGACGTCGGTTCAGCTCCTGCCCATGGTCCCAGGTGTCTTGTCTCAAGTCCTGAGTGGTGGCTCCAGGGTAAACGTGCACGGGGATGGGGGCCGGCCTGGGGGCCTGTTCTCACGGGAGTCCCCGCCTGGCTCAGGCCTCCACCCCTGTCCTGCCTGCACACGGCATGCTTCCATCAGCAAAACTTTCTAAGGATGCAACTCTCTTCCCACGGGACGAGGGGGAGGTGGTTGCAGGATTTCCGGGGTTTGTCCCAGCGGTCACAGCCTGGCCAGGCTCAGGGCTCCGCTCCCCGCTTTCAGAACCACAGCCTGACACCCAGCAGCCCGCCCAGTCTCCCCCGCCCGGTGGGCACCGCACTGCTCCTGCTGGCGTGTTTGGTGGCAAGCTGCACCTCTCGCCACGTTCACCGGCGAACATCGAGTCTCCCGGTGTGGGAGGGCTGGGGTCTCCGGGCTCGGAGCGGGGAGAGCAGACTCACTCCCACGCAGGTGGTCTGATGCCTTCTCTGTCCCCCAGGCTTGGACGTCAGGCAGGCGCAGGTCATCGTTCTGTCCTCGGGGACCAAGTGCATCAGCGGAGAGCACATCAGTGACCAGGGGCTGGTCGTCAACGACTGCCACGCGGAGATCGTAGCCAGGAGAGCGCTGGTCCACTTCCTGTACACACAGCTGGAGCTGCACCTGAGGTAACTGTGCCTGGACGCCCGAGCTCGGGACGCAGGCTGCTCCTGGCCCGTACAGGACGGCGACCGCAGGGCAGTCCCAGGGCACACGGGCAGACTCCCGTCCAAGCGAGGCTCCGTTCCCTCAGCTGACTTTGCGTGAGCCCCGCGGCCAGCAGCAGCCCAGCACACAGGCCTCCGTCAGCTCTGGGCCTACCAAGGGTGCCAGGGACGGGGTGTGGGTCTCCCAAACGCGCCCAACGGTTCTCTCTCCTAAACACCCAACTCACAGCTCCAGGCTGACACGTACCGTGGTGTGGGGCCCGGGAGCAGAGCAGGGAGGCAGACAGGCTGGGGGTGCGCCTCGGGGTTTCCCGGGGGGAATGTCTGCACTGCTGCCCATGTGATCACAGGACCCGGCAACAGAACCCGTCACCAATGGGGCAGAACGGAGACAGCAGCGAGCAGCAGGAAGCCTGTGCGCAGCGGACACGGCCTCCTGCCCTCGGGCTGGGGCTTCCAAGGGCAGAGGCCTGGGCCCATCACAGGCTGGGGGAGCGGGCGCACCACCCTGGGTCACGGCGGGTGCAGGAGGAAAGGGGGTCTCTCCAGGCGCTGGAGGCCAAGCCCTCCCCACTTTTAAAGCCATTCCTCTGACTCCTTTGCGCACAGAGCCATGAGCCCCGTGAGGCTTTATAATGCAGAGAGGGGGGTTAGCATCACCGAGGGGGCTGGCTCCGTAACAAAGGGGCCCAAGACGCAACGTTCCAGGGCATCGGGGCCTGGCCAGGTCTCCTTGCCCCGTGTCACTGCCGCCTGCCCCAGACACAGTCCTGCGGGGAGAAAGCGCCATGCAGGGGGCAACGAGAGAAATACGGGGAAGTAAGACACAAAACCAGGCAAAGGCATGGGCCCAGTGGGCGCCTTTCTGGTCGGCTCGTAAGAGGTGACCGGGACCCTCTCTTTGACCCTAGCAAGCGGCGGGAGGACTGGGAGCACTCGATATTTGAGCGGTCCAAGGACGGCGGCTACCGGCTGAGGGAAGACGTGCTATTCCATCTCTACGTGAGCACGTCCCCCTGCGGAGACGCCAGGCTCCACTCACCCTACGAGATCACCACAGACCGTAAGACACAACCCCTCTCCTCTGCCGGCCCCGTGCCAGGCCATAGGTGCTGGCCACGCTCGCGCACATGACCTGGATGCCTCTGTGGTGGTCAGGAGGGTCCTCCCCCCGAAGCCCCAGCGTGAATGCCCACATCACGGAAAGCAGGGTCGCTCCCCTTCATGTCAGTCGGTCAGCAGCCCGCACGCTGGTCTGCAGAAGAGAGGGCAGGAGAACAGGACGGGAGTTACACGGAGCGCGAGCAAGTCCGAGCGGCTTTGCTCACCTTTGTTTGCAACCTTGCGGAAAGTAATGCTGAGCTTGTTTATTTATGTATAACGAAGCCAGGGGTAGGTGTTGCCCCAGGGTGATGAACTCCCATGCGGAGTGCTGGGCAGGACCTGCCCTCTTGGGGGTTTGGGCAGAGCAGGTGTAAACGACAGTGCCCACCCAACATACGGGTCCAGTGACATTAGCATCTCCAGGAAGAAGGGTTGAGCTGCTCCAGAGTGCCATTAAACTGTCCTTGATATGATGCGTGCACACAACACATACCGTGCATGCATGCGCACCACACACATGCACACATACGTGCACACACACACGCAGACCCATCCCAGAAGCAGCACCAGGCAAACCATCTGAGGTAGGCAGTGAAACCGAGCATGTATATGATGCAGGGTCTGGTCCCAGTGAAGATGCTGACTCATCCCAGGAAACCTACAGCAGACGAGACACACGCAGGGAAGGTTTATTTTTGGCCTCTGATTCCCCCCCATGGAAGGCCACATTTGTGTTCTAATTACCAGTGGAAGGAAAGAAAAGTACTTTCTGAACCCCTGCTGCTCCAGGCAGTGATGAGGTAAAGAAGGTGCAGGGAAAACAGCCCTTTTAAAAAACCTACATGTATTTAACTTAGTCTATTTCTCTAACACGGTTGCAGCCTGGCCAGAAAAATCCATCCTCCTTCCTGCCACCTTTGGTCCAAGACCACGGCTCTCCCCTCCGGAGTAACATTTTCCTTACTATATTCCTCTGTGGCCGCTGGGGTGGATTATAACCAGCAGGCATTTCTTCCTCACAATCTGGGGGCTGGACATCCCAGATCCAGACACCCGCAGGTCTGGTGTCTGGTGAAAGCCACAGCCTGGTTCTTGGGCGGCGTCTTCTGTGCCCTCACCGGGGGAAGAGGCGAGGGGGCTCCCTGGCGCCTCCTTCACAAAAGCACGAATCCCATCGGGAGGCCCCACCTCCTGACACCGTCCCCTTGGGGTTGGGGCTTCAACACGGGAGTTTTTGAGGGACACAAACACTCGGTCCATAGCCACACCCTATGGAAAGTAAGTGGCAGAATCAAATCGAGAGTCAAGGGAAGGGCACCCATTAACTACCAGGGGCCTTTCAGGGAGCCGCCCCAGGAGAGAGGGAGGGCTGGGCTGGCCTTGCAGGTGATGGCAGGTGCGTCCGCCCTCAAGGGCCACGCAGGGCATTCCTTCACTGTCATGTAGTCTCAGAAAGAAAAGGAAGGAGAAACAACATGGAACGGATTCATTTTTCTTGGAGTGTTCATCAGGTTGAAACTACAAGAGCCACCTTCCCATATGAAATTGTGAAATGTGGTCCATTAGACAGCTGTTTAGAACTGTCTTTCCATTTTCGCTCAGAAGATTGGGCATCATGAAGACCCAGCCCAGGAGGCCTCAGGTCTGGGAGGAAAAGTCTGGCAGAACGTTTGGGGCCAGCCCTAATTTACCTCGTTTACCGGCTTCCTCCCGAGGACAGGACGGCTGAGTGAGGACGGCCCGAGGCCCGCCGAGTCTCCAGAGGGGCAGTTCCGGCTCATTGGGCCCGTGCCTCTGTGCATCCGGCACCCACGGCGGCCTCCCTGGCCCCCGATTCCAACTTGCAGAGCCAGTGGTTTAGAAAAACACACAAACACATCCTCAGATGCACCCTGGGGCTCACTTCCCGACACAGATGTCTTTTATTTCATGGTGCTTTTAAGAAGTGGCAGGTGCTGCTGGGGCAAACAAAATAAAGTGCTTTCCTCCCATTCTTACTGCAGCTATGCCAGGCAAAGTGAGATGCTGCTTCCGGGTTATTTAACCTGCTGTCCCTGGCACCCAGGGGGGGCTCTCGGTGAGTCTGTACTCGGACTCACCTCCAGGAGCACACACCACCTCCCCTTATTCGCCCAGTAAGGGTAAGAACACCACACCGCCCTCTGTGTGGAGGGCCTCCCAGAGAACCTGTGCGTTCTTCACGGGCCCAGGAGGGCTCGGACACTCAGGAATGACTCCCGCTTTAGAGAGAAGGCACTGCCACTGAGGGGGGCTCTGCGTGTCGCGCCCCCCACGGTACAGGTCTTTGCTTTGGAAGGATGGCACACGGGGGGACTGGGACCTCTGCTCCCCCAGGAAGCACAGGCCTGTGGGCCCATCTGCTACCAGAGGTCAGGGCGTCTGCGTCCTCCAAGTAACCTTGGAGAAACCTTGCCTCCCTGCCACAAGCCTGGCTCCATGCTCCTAAATGGAGCCCCCGGAACACAGGCCCGAAGGTCCACAGAGGCAGGTCCACCCCTGCAGCCAGCAGGAGCCCCAGTGCGGGAGCCACGACCTCCCCGGGTCCTGCACACCACCCAGCATGGCCCCTGCGGGGTGCCCATTGTGTCCGCTCATCTGTTCTCAGCCTCCTCCACTCTGCACAAGCCCGCGTGCGCCACGGCTCTGCTCTCCAACCCCCCCACACACACAAGGACACCCGTGCGAAGAAGCACACCCTCCACAGGCGTGTGATGTAGCAGATCTGTAGTCAGGCCTCTGACAAACTGCATGCAGCGGAGAAAGGAGATCCCGTGCAGGGGTCTAGACCGTCCCTACAGCCCGCATCACACACCGCAGGGAACCGAATCTGACCTGGCGTTTCTAAGAGCGAACTCCTGACCGCCCACCAGCCACAGAGACACAGTGGCCGTCCCCAGGGACCTCTGGCCCCAGCTGTCCTGGTGCTCGAAAGGCTCCCCGACTTCCCTGAGCCCACACTCCCTACGGCCCGGTCCGTGTCTGAGAGAGCACAGAGCGCAGTGCTGTGAACCGGCCTCACCTCCCTCGGATGCCTGTGGCTCAAGAAATTCTAAATTCCCCGCTTTGTTTCCTCAAAAATATTAATCTAGATAGATCACAGTTCTTCCTCCCTGGAGTCTTTCACAATGAAATCAAAACCAATCAGTCTGAGAAGTTGGGGGGTGTTGCCCATCAGCAGGCGAGCGCTCCCCTGGGCTGTCTCCGAACCTGCCTCCTCTATCAGGATCCGCCAGCAAGTCTCCACAGACGCAGTTTCCTGCTGCCTGCTCTGCCGGAGACTCTGATGTATTCGGGGTACACTGGGCTACTCTTAAAACTTCCCCAGTGATTCTGAGAATCTGACATGTTTCCAGCTACCGGATTCAAAACCCCCCAAACAGTCTCCTGCCCAGATTGGGTGTGTATCTCCTGTCAGGAGAGCGGGAGTCTGGTCCAGTGTCTGCAGGGCCAGGCAGGCTCAGGGGGCAGGTGTACAAGGCTATTACTGGGGGGGACGAGCCTGCGCCATGAAGGTCCTTGGTCTTGCTGACCAGGAGCGACCCCGTTCGTTCCGGGAGGCGGACCCACAAGGATGATGCCACGTCCTGAGTGGCTCTGGGCAGGCCTGGGCTGGCCCCAGACCGCTCTGAGGGGAACCGCCATGGAAGAGAGCCCTGACAAGATCCAGGGCACGTCACTGTGGCTGAATAACCACCGTCCTCCTTCTGACTCACCAGCATCCTTAACTCAAATGCCACTTTCGTGGTGTGTCTTTTAAACAACCTGGGAAATTCATTTCTTACTGCCATTTTCCAAGATTTAACAGTGTAGTTAAAATTCTCCCCTCTACCTTCCCCCACATGCCACGGGAAGGAGCATATGATGTTGTAGCTTAGGAGCGTGTGCTAAATGCCTCCTTCGTTCTAGGCCAGCTCCGTTCATTGTGCATTAGGGAAGTTCAAGAGATTAGACCAGAAGCACAAAGCCGGGTCTAAGGCACGCGTCCTGACAGCCCCGTCTTCAGGTCTGCCTACTGAGCCCCTGATGCTGGCACAGGCTGCTAAGGTCCGTGCACCGCGGGAGCAGGCATCCAGATGGTCTCCAAGCTCCCACCACTGCTGCCGCCACAGCGTCCCACAGGACGCACGGGACGGATGCTGTAGACGTCATTATAGGGAACAGCGGGGCGCATCACAGGTGTTCTCTGCGGGGTGCACACACCTTCTGAAGACGGTCTGGAAATTAAAAGTTTATCTGGCGCTCAGATAGACTGTCTTCCGTTCCGAGGCCTTTCCTCCCATTCCCGGCTCTCCTTCCCTACAGCAATCGCTGCAGCCATGTATCACTCCTCAGACACAGCTGTGCTCCCTCGGTGGACACCAGCAATTGCCGTTTACGTCCACCCCCTTCTGATTCTGTCCTAAAAATAAAATATTCACCTGAACAACCCTGTAAAGCATATGACCACCCTTCCTGTATCTTCACACCCGTCTTCAAAGGTCTCAGACTGATAAACACTACAATGATGAGTCTGGGAACATGGAATACTAGCAGATTAGAATATTCTCCTGGATTCAGGAGGATTTATATGCACTCGGCAGATTTCAATGTCTCAGACCCACTGCAGCTTGTGTGGACTCAGTCCCCTGCGGCCTCTGGGTGGACCGGTGTTTGTGCTGCTTCAAGTGCCAACTTTAGCTCCCTCCCACCTCTCACAATTAGGCGAGGAAGAGCCAAGGACATGGGCTCTACCAGATTACCAGCACTCGGAACACCGCCCCCACCGGGACTGATCATGCTGTTCAGGGAGCATGCTAAGGAAGGCAGCCTGAGATGTAGCACCTCCAAAAATAAACAAGTTTCAGGAGCGCCTCATGCACCTGGCTCTTCAGGCAAAATTAATCCACCTGAAAACTTTGAGTTAACTCCTACAGACCAGTTGTTAACTCAAGCCAGGACTCCCGTGTTGTCATGGCATTAACTGACTGTAGAGTCTACTTCATGGAAAATTAGTTGTGCAGAAGCAGTGGGTAGGAATTTAGAAAAGGCTTACAAGGTAACAGGCAACTTCCAGGTCTGAAAAATGACATGATAGTTGAAGCACCAGGAGAACAACAAGGATGCCATAATTAATAGACAGAGGGCAGAACGTACCATATTCCCTGTGAAAATATCCCCCACATAGAATGGCAAGTCCCTGACACCGTGGCAAACTGTGGAAACTGAGGTGAATTGGTCCTCCACTCTCCCAATGCTGAGGTTGATGAGACCAGTAAGACCCCACCTGCACAGTGTAAAAAGTTGGGTCCAAGCAAAGGTTTGTTCAAAGGTTTTTGAGTCATATGAACTATTTTATGTTCATTGTATCATCTTCACCATCACCACCATCATCACCATCATCACCATCACCCTCATCACCAATATCACCATCATCACCATCATCACCATCATCACCATCATCACCATCACCATCACCACCATCATCACCATCACCATCATCACCACCATCACCATCACCATCATCACCATCACCATCATCACCACCATCACCATCACCACCATCACACCATCACCATCA